TTACACGGCCATCGTGAACCCCCTGAGAGAGACACTCAGACCCAGTGTTGAACCACGGCCCTCAATGTCTCTGACACGGCCATCGTGAACCCCCTGAGAGAAAGAAACCCAGACCGAGTGTTGAACCCAGTCTCTCAGTGTCTCTGACACGGCCATCGTGAACCCCCTGAGAGAGACACCCAGACCCAGTGTTGAACCCAGGCTCTCAGTGTCTCTGACACGGCCATCGTGAACCCCCTGAGAGAGAGAGACACCCAGACCCAGTGTTGAACCCAGGGTCTCAGTGTCTCTGACACGACAATTATGAACCCCCTAAGAGAGACACCCAGACCCAGTGTTGAACCCAGGCTCTCAGTGTCTCTGACACGACAATTATGAACCCCCTAAGAGAGACACCCAGACCCAGTGTTGAACCCAGGCTCTCAGTGTCTCTGACACGGCCATCGTGAACCCCCTGAGAGAGAGAGACACCCAGACCGAGTGTTGAACCCAGGCTCTCAGTGTCTCTGACACGGCCATCGTGAACCCCCTGAGAGAGACACCCAGACCCAGTGTTGAACCTAGGCTCTCAGTGTCTCTGTCACGGCCATCGTGAACCCCCTGAGAGAGAGCCACCCAGACCCAGTGTTGAACCCAGGCTCTCAGTGTCTCTGACACGGCCATCGTGAACCCCCTGAGAGAGAGACCCAGACTCGGTGTTGAACCCAGGCTCTCAGTGTCTCTGACACGGCCATCGTGAACCCCCTGAGAGAGAGAGAGAGACACCCAGACCCAGTGTTGAACCCAGGCTCTCAGTGTCTCTGACACGGCCATCGTGAACCCCCTGAGAGAGACCCAGACTCGGTGTTGAACCCAGGTTCTCAGTGTCTCTGACACGACCATCGTGAACCCCCTGAGAGAGAGACACTCTAACCCAGTGTAGAACCCAGGGTCTCAGTGTCTCTGACACGGCCATCGTGAACCCCCTGAGAGAGAGACACCCAGACCCAGTGTTGAACCCAGGCTCTCAGTGTCGCTGACACGGCCATCGTGAACCCCCTGAGAGAGAGACACCCAGACCCAGTGTTGAACCCAGGTTCTCAGTGTCTCTGACACGGCCATCGTGAACCCCCTGAGAGAGAGACACCCAGACCCAGTGTTGAACCCAGGCTCTCAGTGTCTCTGACACGACAATTATGAACCCCCTGAGAGAGACACTCAGACCCAGTGTTGAACCCAGGGTCTCAGTGTCTCTGACACGGCCATCGTGAACCCCCTGAGAGAGAGAGACACCCAGACCCAGTGTTGAACCCAGGCTCTCAGTGTCTCTGACACGGCCATCGTGAACCCCCTGAGAGAGAGAGACACCCAGACCCAGTGTTGAACCCAGGATCTCAGTGTCTCTGACACGGCCATCGTGAACCCCCTGAGAGAGAGACACCCAGACCCAGTGTTGAACCCAGGCTCTCAGTGTCTCTGACACGACCATTATGAACCCCCTGAGAGAGAGACACCCAGACCCAGTGTTGAACCCAGGCTCTCAGTGTCTCTGACACGGCCATCGTGAACCCCCTGAGAGAGAGACACCCAGACCCAGTGTTGAACCCAGGCTCTCAAGTCAAGAGGCAGGGCTCTGGGGTTTGTCAAAAAAACGTTTATTCAGTCACGTGACACGCGGGGGTGGGGGGTTGGGGGCAGTGTTACTCTATGTACAACGCGGAGTCCGAACCAATCAAGAGACGAGCTTAGGCGTGGGTGGGAGGGTTAGCGGGTGGGTGGGAGGGTTAGTGGGTGGGGAGGAGGTAGTGGGGCGGTGCTAAGGGGTTAAAGGTCGAAGTTCACGCGAGTTGAGGGGAGGGTGGGGACTGCATTGGGGGTGTTCAAGCGGCCACCAGCAGTGGAGAAACCTGGTCATCGGGTCACGTGGGTTCGTGGGATAGGTGGTGGTGGGTGGGGCGATAGAAACGCGAACAAACGCAATAGCTGGAGGAATATGCAGAGACTGAGGGATGGAGAGAGGTGGAGAGATGGTTGAGTAATCGAGAGATGGTACAGTCAGAGAGAGAGAGACCGCCTATACCAAGTAAAACTTCGAGGGAGTGAAAGGGAGTCCCGGACCAATCTCTGGGACTTCAACCCCTCACCCCTCACTTACAGCTACTCTCCCATGGCCACTCTCTACACACAGGGGCCCTGTGTGGCCTAACCAGTGGGCCTGGTTATAATCCCCGGGCCCTAACCCTGGGGCCTAACCTTGCCCTGGGTTCTATAACCCTGGCCCTGGGCCTAACCCTGGTCTAGCCAGGCCCTGGGCCTAACCTTGGCCCTAACCCTGGCCTAGCCAAGACCTGGGCCTAACCTTGGCCCTAACCACTGCTCTAACCCTGGCCCGGCCCTAATCCTCGCCCGGCTTGGCCTGGCCCCGGCCTTGCTGGGGGTCTCTCTTGGCGGTCAACTGCAGGGGTGGGAGACTCGGGGTGACCGGGTCTCGAGGTTGGAGACTCGGGGTGGGAGACTCAGGGTGACCGGGTCTCGGGGTAGGAGACTCGGGGTGACCGGGTCTCAGGCTGGGAGACTCGGGGTGACCGGGTCTCAGGCTGGGAGACTCGGGGTGACCGGGTCTCAGGCTGGGAGACTCAGGGTGACCGGGTCTCAGGGTGGGAGACTCGGGGTGGGAGACTCAGGGTGGGAGACTCGGGGTGACCGGGTCTCGAGGTTGGAGACTCGGGGTGACCATGTCTCGGGGTGGGAGACTCAGGGTGGGAGACTCAGGGTGGGAGACTCGGGGTGACCGGGTCTCGGGGTGGGAGACTCAGGGTGGGAGACTCAGGGTGACCGGGTCTCAGGGTGGGAGACTCGGGGTGACCGGGTCTCGGGGTGGGAGACTCAGGGTGGGAGACTCAGGGTGGAGACTCGGGGTGACCGGGTCTCGAGGTGGGAGACTCAGGGTGACCGGGTCTCGGGGTGGGAGACTCAGGGTGGGAGACTCAGGGTGGAGACTCGGGGTGACCGGGTCTCGGGGTGGGAGACTCAGGGTGACCGGGTCTCAGGGTGGGAGACTCAGGGTGGGAGACTCAGGGTGGGAGACTCAGGGTGGAGACTCGGGGTGACCGGGTCTCGAGGTTGGAGTGTGTTAGTGTGTGTGTGACCCTACAAGATGTTAATATGTACAAGTTGCCTATGCTACTGTGCGCCAGGCTCTGCCCTCTCTTGAGTGGCGTGCTGCTAGTACGTACGTGTGTGGCTGCGTGCGAGTGAGTGGGGTCCTGGACCTCCCCTAGGTCGACTCAGCCTCAAACGTGTGAGTGAGTGTGCGAGTGTAGTGTAGTGCATAGTGTGTGAGTGAGCGAGCGAGTGTAGTGTATCATGTAGTAGTGTGTAGTGTATAGTGTAATGTATAGTGTAGTGTAATAGTGTGGTAGTGTGTAGTGTAGTGTAGTAGTGTATAGTGTAGTAGTGTGGTAGTGTATAGTGTAGTGTGATAGTGTAGTGTGGTAGTGTATAGTGTAGTGTATAGTGTAGTAGTGTATAGTGTAGTAGTGTATAGTGTAGTGGTGTGATAGTGTATAGTGTAGTGTGGTAGTGTATAGTGTAGTGTATAGTGTAGTAGTGTAGTGTATAGTGTAGTAGTGTATAGTGTAGTGTAGTAGTGTGGTAGTGTATAGTGTAGTAGTGTGGTAGTGTATAGTGTAGTGTAGTAGTGTGGTAGTGTATAGTGTAGTGTGGTAGTGTATAGTGTAGTGTATAGTGTAGTGTATAGTATAGTGTAGTAGTGTGGTAGTGTATAGTGTAGTGTGGTAGTGTATAGTGTAGTGTATAGTGTAGTAGTGTATAGTGTAGTGTAGTAGTGTGGTAGTGTATAGTGTAGTGTATAGTGTGGTAGTGTATAGTGTAGTAGTGTATAGTGTGGTAGTGTATAGTGTAGTGTGGTAGTGTATAGTGTAGTGTATAGTGTAGTGTGTAGTAGTGTATAGTGTAGTGTATAGTGTAGTGTGTAGTGTAGTGTATAGTGTAGTGTATAGTGTAGTGTATAGTGTAGTGTATAGTGTAGTGTATAGTGTAGTGTAGTAGTGTGGTAGTGTATAGTGTAGTAGTGTGGTAGTGTATAGTGTAGTGTATAGTGTAGTGTGGTAGTGTATAGTGTAGTGTAGTAGTGTAGTGTATAGTGTAGTGTATAGTGTAGTAGTGTATAGTGTAGTAGTGTGGTAGTGTAGTGTGGTAGTGTATAGTGTAGTGTAATAGTGTAGTGTATAGTGTAGTGTATAGTGTAGTGTATAGTGTAGTGTATAGTGTGTAGTGTAGTAGTGTGGTAGTGTATAGTGTAGTGTATAGTGTAGTGTATAGTGTAGTGTATAGTGTGGTAGTGTATAGTATAGTGTAGTGTATAGTGTAGTGTATAGTGTAGTGTATAGTGTAGTAGTGTATAGTGTAGTGTATAGTGTAGTGTATAGTGTAGTGTATAGTGTAGTAGTGTATAGTGTAGTGTATAGTGTAGTGTATAGTGTAGTGTATAGTGTAGTGTATAGTGTAGTGTATAGTGTAGTAGTGTATAGTGTAGTGTGTAGTGTATAGTGTAGTGTATAGTGTAGTGTATAGTGTAGTGTATAGTGTAGTGTATAGTGTAGTGTATAGTGTATAGTGTAGTGTATAGTGTAGTGTATAGTGTAGTGTATAGTGTAGTGTATAGTGTATAGTGTAGTGTATAGTGTAGTGTATAGTGTAGTGTATAGTGTATAGTGTAGTGTATAGTGTAGTAGTGTATAGTGTAGTGTATAGTGTAGTGTATAGTGTAGTGTATAGTGTAGTGTATAGTGTAGTGTATAGTGTAGTGTATAGTGTAGTGTATAGTGTAGTGTATAGTGTAGTGTATAGTGTAGTGTATAGTGTAGTGTATAGTGTAGTGTATAGTGTAGTGTATAGTGTAGTGTATAGTGTATAGTGTAGTGTATAGTGTAGTGTATAGTGTAGTGTATAGTAGTGTATAGTGTAGTGTATAGTGTAGTGTATAGTGTAGTAGTGTATAGTGTAGTGTGTAGTGTATAGTGTAGTGTATAGTGTAGTGTAGTAGTGTATAGTGTAGTGTATAGTGTAGTGTATAGTGTAGTAGTGTAGTGTATAGTGTAGTGTATAGTGTAGTGTATAGCGAGGGCGCTAGTGCAGGATGGTGAGCTTGGGGTTGGTGGATCGGCTGGAGGTGCAGGCGGTGGGGTCCATGAGGGGGCAGCGGCGCACGTCCAGAACACGCAGACGCGGACACGGAGAGAGGGCGGAGAGCGAGCGTGGGGACAGCCGCGGGCAGCCTGCACACACACACACAGAAACACACACACAGATTACACACATTACACACACACACAGATTACACACATTACACACACACAGATTACACACACACACATTACACACACACATCACACACACACACATTACACACACACAGATTACACACACACACACACACAGATTACACACACACAGATTACACACAGATTACACACACACACAGATTACACAGATTACACACACAGATTACACACATTACACACAGATTACACACACACACATTACACACAGATTACACACACACACAGATTACACACAGATTACACACACACACACATCACACACACAGATTACACACAGATTACACAGATTACACACACACACAGATTACACACAGATTACACACACAGATTACACACAGATTACACACACACACACACATTACACACACACACAGATTACACACATTACACACACACATTACACACACACACAGATTACACACATTACACACACACATTACACACACACACAGATTACACACAGATTACACACACACATTACACACAGATTACACACACACAGATTACACACAGATTACACACACACACATTACACACACACACACAGATTACACACATTACACACACACATTACACACACACACAGATTACACACAGATTACACACACACATTACACACACACAGATTACACACAGATTACACACACACAGATTACACACAGATTACACACACAGATTACACACAGATTACACACACACACAGATTACACAGATTACACACAGATTATACACACACACAGATTACACACAGATTACACACACAGATTACACACATTACACACACAGATTACACACAGATTATACACAGATTACACACAGATTATACACAGATTACACACACAGATTATACACAGATTACACACAGATTACACACACACACACAGATTACACACACACAGATTACACACAGATTACACACACAGATTATACACAGATTACACACACACACACAGATTACACACAGATTATACACAGATTACACACACACACACAGATTACACACAGATTATACACAGATTACACACACACACAGATTACACACAGATTATACACACACATTACACACACACAGATTACACACAGACACACACAGATTACACACACACATACACACACACACATTACACACACACAGATTACACACACACACATTACACACAGATTATACACAGATTATACACACACACACAGATTACACACAGATTATACACACATTACACACACACAGATTACACACACACACACACACAGATTACACACACAGATTACACACATACAGATTACACACACATACACAGATTACACACAGATTACACACACAGATTATACACACAGATTACACACACAGATTATACACACAGATTACACACATTACACACACACAGATTACACACAGATTACACACACATTACACACACACATTACACACACACATTACACACACACACACAGATTACACACACAGATTACACACAGATTACACACACACATTACACACACACATTACACACACACACACACAGATTACACACACACACAGATTACACACAGATTACACACACACACACAGATTACACACACACACACAGACACACACAGATTATACACACACACAGATTACACACACACAGATTACACACGCACACACACATTACACACACACACATTACACACACACACACACACAGATTACACACACACACACAGATTACACACAGATTACATACACACAGATTACACACACACACATTACACACACACACAGATTACACACACACACATTACACACACACAGATTACACACAGATTACACACACACACAGATTACACACAGATTACACACACACACACACACACAGATTACACACAGATTACACACACACACACAGATTACACACAGATTACACACACACACAGATTACACACAGATTACACACACACAGATTACACACAGATTACACACACACACAGATTACACACAGATTACACACACACACAGATTACACACACACAGATTACACACAGATTATACACACACACACAGACACACACAGATTATACACACACATTACACACAGATTACACACAGATTATACACACACAGATTATACACACACACATTACACACAGATTACACACAGATTACACACACAGATTACACACAGATTACACACACACAGATTACACACAGATTACACACACACAGATTACACACAGATTATACACACACACAGACACACACAGATTATACACACACAGATTACACACACACACATTACACACACACACACATTACACACACACAGATTATACACACACAGATTACACACACACACATTACACACACAGATTACACACACACACAGATCACACACACAGATTACACACACACAGATTACACACACACAGATTACATACACAGATTACACACACACAGATTACACACACACAGATTACACACACACACACATTACACACACACAGATTACACACACACACAGATTACACACACACACAGATTACACACAGATTACACACACACAGATTACACACACACACACACAGATTACACACACACAGATTACATACACACAGATTACACACACACAGATTACACACACACAGATTACACACACACACACACATTACACACACACAGATTACACACACACAGATTACACACACACACATTACACACACACAGATTACACACAGATTACACACACACACAGATTACACACACACACAGATTACACACACACACAGATTATACACACACAGATTATACACACACAGATTATACACACACAGATTATACACACACACACACAGATTACACAAAACAACCCCCTACCTCCTCGCGGTGCCGGACGGGCAACTCTGTCATGGACAGCGCTGTGGGGGGAGATCCAATTTTGATTGGCTCCTCCCCTCATGGCATATGTGTCCACCACAGGGGCTAAACGGGGGCTTTGGACGGGTGCGAGGGGCTGGTAACCCCTCCACCTTCAATTAATTACCACGAAACCACGAATTAAACTGAAATATGTAACAACTAAGCTTGTGCCGGAGGCCCCGGGGGGCCAGGCGTCTATGACGTCTCCTGGCCAAACCCCAATTGGCGGAGCCAGGAGATTGAATACCTACCCTCGGGGCTACTCCAGAAACAACGAAAAGCCACTACGGGTGGCCACGTGGAATGTTCGAACGCTCACTGCAGAGGAGAGGCTGCCACTCCTCTGTCGGGAGCTGGACCGGTACCGCCTGGATCTATGCGGCATTCAGGAGGTCCGGTGGACCGGCTCTGGCTCCTGCCACCATGAGGGGTGGACAGTCCTCTACTTGGGGCAGCAGACTGCCAAACAACAGGGTGTGGGTCTTCTTTCGAACAAAAGAATGAAGGGGGCGTGGGAGCGTGGCGGTGAGGTGTGGGAAGCTGTAAGCCCCAGGCTACTTTGGGCTCGCCTTCCCATCAACCGGAGGCGAGGAATGGTGGTCGTGGTTACTTATGCCCCCACCGAAGATGAACATCCGTGGAGGGATGCAGGCAAAGCCGATGAGTCAGATGCCTTCTATGACCTCCTGTCACAGGTGCTGGCTAAAGTGGCCCCTCGGGATAGAGTCATCATGTTGGGTGACTTCAATGCCCGAGTTGGTCATGATACTGGCACCTGGTCTGGAGTGATTGGAGGGCATGGGCCAGATCAGCTCAATAACAACGGTAGGAGGCTGCTAGATTTTTGTGCAGCCCATGGGCTTGTAATTACCAATACGCTGTTCCGGCATCGGCGCATCCACACAACATCATGGATGCATGTCGGGTCCAAGCAAGAACATCTGCTGGACTACATAGTGACGGACCAGTGAATGCGAGCCCATGTCCTTGACACCAGGACCTACCGTGGAGCTGATCTGCCCTCTGACCATCGACTAGTCATCTGTAAGATGCGCCTGCCATTCTTCCACTCCGGTGGTGGGTGTACACCCAGGACCCCATTCCAACCTAAAGTGGCCTGGTCTCAGTTATCTGATGAAAGTTGCAAGCGAGAATTTCATCATCGCTTGCGGCTGGGATTGGCATCGTCCCCGACTCCTCCTGATGTCGAGGGTAAATGGGCGAGGTTTAGGACTGTGACTCATGCAGCTGCAATGGCTGCTTTGGGTACACGGTCCAGACCTCCCCAGACACCCTGGATGACAGAGGAGTTGTTCAGGATGGTTGAGAAAAAGCGACAGGCCCACTGTCATCGGCTACAGAATCCCACGTCAGAGAATGAGGAGGCTTACCGCAGCCTTCGCTCGGAGGTTCGGAGAGCCGTGAGGCGCTGCAAGGATGGGTGGTGGTCGCGGGTTGCTGAGGAGATGGAGTCTGCCTCAGTGGCCCGTGATCACAAATCTCTATTTAACTCCATCAAAAAAGTAACCTGCAGCGCCACACCTATTACCATCATTAGGGGAAAAAACGGTGATCCAATTTCCGACCCCCAGGAACAGGTTCGCAGATTTGCTGAGCATTTCTGTGAGGTCCTGGGGGAGGGAAAATCCCTCGGCCAGGAAACATCGTGGCACAAAGTGAGGATGACCCTGCTGAGGCTGCGGTGCCTCAAATATTGGATGAAGTCACCCCCTGTGAGTGGCTGGCTGAGGTGCCATCTGCTGAGGAAGTATTGAAGGCGATCCGGAGTCTGAGACCAGGAAAGGCAGCGGGCAGAGATGATCTCCCAAGCGAAATGCTGAGGGAGGGTGGCGTTTGTGCACAGACTGCCCTATATGACATCATAACAACAGTCTGGACCACTGGACGGGTTCCGCAGGATTGGAAGGATGCCCTGGTGGTCCCCCTTTTTAAGAAGGGGGACCGCACAGACTGTAACAACTACAGGGGCATCTCACTCCTCAGTGTGCCGGGAAAGGTCCTGGCAAGGATTATTCAG